AAATGAAAAAAATGAGAATTTGCCTAATTTGTGTGTTATAGGAAATTTACAGGGCAAATATGTGCATGCCTGTCATATTGTTTAAGTAATTGGTCAATTAGATATATATTGTCCAATTAGACGTGGTGAAGGCCTTAAAAGTAGCCAATGACTTTTAGGTTTGATTGGTGATGCTTAAGTGCAAATTTTGACTTAAAACGGTCAAAATGTACTTGGGTGTCTAATTTTCAAACGGAATATTGGATTTAAATGAAATTAAGGTCATTGGTGAGATTTTGAAACAAGCTTATTATGGGAGCTTGAACCACCCCAATCAGACATCGGATGTGAAAACAACGAACTTACCAAGTTTGTATCAGAATTTAAAATTTGATAGCAGTTTTTGAAATGTGCACTGGGCACATGTGACAACAAAAGGCAACATGCCATGGCGCATAGCATAGAGAGTAACGCTAAGGTCATTGTGGCATGAGTCGCAGCATATGTGGCACGAGTCGTGACTTATAGCTCACTTTTTGTGTAAATTAAAAAGTTTTGAGTTGGTCCTTAATATGTTTATATCTAATACCTTCACTGTGCAATATGTTTATAAGAGATTTTTAAACATTTTATATTGGGATTCCAATGTTTTCAAAAAGGTTTTATGTTGATTAATAAATTGCGTAGAGGGTTGTATGGTAATGTCGTTTAGGGCATTACACAAAGGCCGGCCACCCTTTATCTATTGGGTTCTCGTCTATGTCCTAGGCTCTTTAGTCTAGCTAGTTAAGTATTCATCTAATTTGATCACACACTTATGCCCTACCTAGATATTCGGCAGCATTGTCTTCGTCTACCTCCTTTATATATACATATAACTCTCTTCTTTCAATTGTTTTTCTATATGCAATAAGGTGGATTAGAGAGTTTGCAAGGGTTGTCGGAGTTGAGGATTGCAACGGTGGATATATAGTAGACGGCATGGTAGTGGTGGGTTTTCACTTTGTAGTAGAAGTTGATACACATAGGTACAGGAGAACAACATATGGGCATATAGTATGGGAAAAGAGATAAACAAAATAGTGGGCCCCACTCTTTGTAAAATAATGGACGTTAATCCTAAATCAATAGTGAAGGAGAGATTGCTCTCAATTTAATTGTATAGGATTTAAAATGTACCAAATACAAGTTCAGGGTTCAAATCACTCTTAGATCTATAGTTTAAAGTTAAAATTGTATATTAACCCTTACAAAAAACCACATTATTTGAATGTATTTTTGTTTTGCAATGCAAGTTCATGAGGCAAATGTATTCTGAATTTCCAACCAAATTTGTACACTAATCGCGTAATTTTCACAAATTTATTACATACAACTCATTTTAATATGAAAACTAGACTAAATCCTCCATTAGACTATTGTGTGAAAGAATATATTCTTAAATGAGTTTCAAATTAAAATCTTAGATATTAAAATTATGTAATTAAGTAATTCTAAGATTTTAATTTGACATTTTTACCACTCCAAATTCCATTAAAAAAAATTAAACAAGCACAATTTATGATAAAAAGTAAAATAAAGAGTAAAAAAAGAAACAAACACACCTAATATGACCAACACTTCATATCAATGATTGTTGTTGTTTTCTTTCAAACAAAACCCTAACAAGCAAATAAAAGTATTTGACAGCGACAAATAGCAATAAAAAGCAAACCAACAAAGTCACAATGAACCAAGTTGAATAAGAGTAACAAACCAATATTTTTTTCAATAAAAAAATGACAAATTTGGCAAGAAATGATTTGATTGAGAAACCAAAAAAGACGAGATTTGTTAGATTGTAGCAAACCGGTTATGGCAGACTAACAATATATGGACGTTACCCTTGTAATTGAAGAATAGTTAATGCAATGAAATGTGAGACAACAAATTTTTAATTGGAGGATATAATCAACATTAATGGTTAATAGAAAACTTAATGATTGGTTATGCAGGATATAAGCAAACAATAAATTCTTCATAAAAATATGCAATTAACATTAATACTCAACAAAAAAAATAATGATTAGTTGTATGAGGCATAAATATTTTTGAAGCCTAAGGTGATGGTCAAAATGGCCTAATTCTATACACGATCCTACTTATGTGCGGCACCTATAGCCCTTACCGAGCATAACAATAGGAGCTTTAGGAGTTAGCAGCCCCCACGTGATAATAAGAACTATTGATATCTACTTTCAAATCACAATAATCACTTATGAATCCCAAAATAATTCTCCAAAAAATACAACATACCATTATGTAATCAAAATCAATCATTTACTTAAAGGATAAAATCCATCGATAACCACAACAAGGGATTTGACGCCTCTCAAAATAATTTCCACAAATATGGAGTAGAGTATTCAAAACTACTTTTTTTTCTCTCTATTTCTTTCATTTTTTTTCTTCTTGTCTGGACTTATGCTTTTTTAGTCTCAAAGGTTTAAATCTATTCAATTTCTTCTACTTTCTTCTTCTTCTTCTTCTCTCTTTTCTTTTTTTTTTAAATTTTTTGTTGTATTTTTTTTCATCTTTCATTTCTTTCTTTTTTTTTCTTTCTTTTTGTTTTTTGTCCCCCAATCAAACCAACCAAAACCACTTTACAAAGCCGAATAACCTCCACGCCATAATCTAGAAGTAAAAACCCAACTATCAGAAGCCCAAACCAAGGCCTGCAGAGTCCATAACATCAACCAGACCACAATTGTCATAGCCAAGAGAAAATCAAACGACAAGCAATAACGCCAATAAGTCAATTAAAGTTGTTCCAAGAGTCATAAGTGCCCAAAATTTCCCATCATACATTAGATGATCAACTCTTACCTCAATTTCCACAAATTTCAATCAATTTCACTATTTATTTCTACATAAGTCCTTTTTTAGAATAAAAATCTTGAGTTTAAAACAATAAACCAAATCAATTCCAAATTCAATAAAATTCTAGACATAGCATCCTTATCAAAGTTCATAATTATATAAATTCACGTACCAAGCCACCAGCCGATTGGCCAAACTAAAATCCAAAAAAAAAAATCAGATTAAATATCCTAGAAATTCAAAATCTAGCTTAACCTTAGATCCAACCACAAAGTTCACATTCCAACAAGTATAACTAGGTTATCTTAAACCAATAATCATATTTTTCAACCATTAATTCTTATAAATACAAAATTCCCCTTTCTATCACTTAGGTTCGTCCGCAACTAATGCTTCTAAAAATCTACCAATTAAGTTCCAAATGACGTTAGAGAAAGCACAAACTCATTTTTTGAAGTCAAGAAACTTCTTCAAAACTCTTCAATCAACCCAAATTTGTCACTGAAATAACCCTAATAAATCTCAGTTTCCATTGATTAAAAGGAAGAGAGGAGGAGAAATCTTGATCGTATACCTACATTGGAGTTTGGAAACTTCAAAGCCCATGATTTTAGTCCAAATACCTCAAAATATCGCCTCCTCCTCTCACTTCTCCCATGAAAACCCTAATTTCTAATATGATTTTTTGCTCTTCATATAGCTACCTGCGGTCACGTCTGGAGGCGAACACGCCCTCAGTAATTACATAGGTAATGGTCAAACTTTCATTTTGAATAGTCAACCTTGAACAAGTGTTCAGCACCGGACAACTCTAATGTTAGCCACATCTGACACCAAAAACAAATAGAGGGTTTCCCCTTCCCATTTATTATTGTCCATGTATAGTTGTACTTGTGCATTTATCTTCCACATAAATTGTCTAAAACAAGTGAGCAAGCAAAAGATTGAGTAAATTTAATTTAGTTGAGTAAAATATGAGTAGATAAAGTTGATTTAGCAAATGAAATTAAATTTTGAAAATAAGGAACAACAAGCGAATCACAAACTTCAAGCATAAATTAGGACGTAGAATTATTTATTCCCTGGTATCTCATAACATTAAAATTACTTCATCTCAAAATATTTTTAATGAAAATAAGTGATAACCTATGATTTTAAAAAATATTTGAACAAGCTTTCTCAATTTATGAACAAGTGTTTAGTTAAATTAATTATCCAATCTCTTATTACAATTAATAAAACCCAATAATGTGGCTATGCAAGATTAGTAAGTAGCTCTCTATCTTAATAATAAAACCATCCATTCATCATGCAACTTCAAATTCTTACATTATTTTATCCAAATTTTATAATCAAGCCAACCCTCTCAAGTGTCGCCTAAGTGAACTGAACATCTAAATGGTGCCTAATCATTTAGAAGCATTAAGAAAAAAGTAAAATAAACACACAAACACCCCCATTAATCACAAAGAGGAAGGAGCAAAATTAGTATTAATTCATCAGAGGGTTCCAATAATCTTAGAGCAAAGTATTTAGCTACTCATAATCATCTACAAATTACAAAGACACAAAATATTTAAACCCATATCAAAATATAAGAGAAGAAAGGGAAGAGTAATAGGAAAAAAAAGCTCCAAATATATTCAAAACTCCAATTGCTTACTACAAGCTCTTCCAATACCCAAATCTTAGCACACAAAGCTCTAAATGGTGGCTTAAAATATGAAGAATGGGTTCTGAGTCAAGCAAGCATCATATATGTATTCTCCCCATGTTCATTTTCACTGAAGCAAAAGGCAACGTTTTGCTGATAGCGGCAAAAATTGTGAACAAAGTCACAACTTAGGCTATGATTTTGACAGGTTTGCACTGTTCTCTCAATTACGAACTTATTCTCTTTGTACTTGATTTCTTTATTTAAAAGCCTTCCAAAAGTATCACCAAGGCCATAAATGTTTTCCACCAAACTTTAAACCAAAATAATACAAATTAAGCACAAAAATATCAAATTAAATTCGAGTATACAAACACGAAGCAAGATGCATATTTTTTTTAATTTGGGCAATCAAAATCTATACAATTGAGTCAAAATATATTAAAGTGTAAGGAATTTGTGCTCAAATGGCATTAGTGTCTAAAAAAAATAGAAAAAAAAAAAAAACTCCAAGCATTACCTAAAATAGAAATATGTTGGTTCAGGTATCGGTGCAATTCTGCGAAATAAATTTTGGAAAGCCGATTACTCGTGTTAGATGCAGGCCGCGAATTTAAAAAATGACGGCGGCGAGCTCTGATTCTGAGGTGAGTGCTGGTAAATTTGTGTCATATCAAATTTAATAACCGATAAACGTCTTTTCAGTCACTTCGCTGTGCTTCTTTTTGATTTAAGCTTTCAAGTTTGTTTTGCTGTGTGCTTGTGGAAATCAGTCCCAAAAGCCAAGTTACGAAACATTCCGATTGTTCTCCTCCACGGACGGAGACAGCACCAGTTCTGGGTTCGGTTTTTTTGATGCTAGACAAGCACCTTCTATACCCCCACCTCCTTGTATTGAAGTGCTTTGCTCTGAGGTATTCTTTGCTGTAGCTATTTTCTCTTTACTCTTTGGTTTATAATTCGATGGGCATTATTTACTTCGATTTATGGGATTCATGTAAAATAGGCTTCACCGTCGGTGGAATACAGTGCGGAATCAGTGAGCTTGGATGGGCTTACTCTGCTGAAGGTAGCTTATTCTCCCAACCTTTGTTGCCTGGAGATATTAAGACTTGAACTTCTGATAGTTTTATGGCTGGGTTTGATTTTGTTTTATTTTCATGGATTCAATTTGTTTTTCTAACAACTGAAGTAATGCTTGTTCCATTCTCAGGGAAGGGTCAATACGCAAGAAGTTTTTGGCTTATTCCAACTCTGATTTAGTGCCAGGGAAAATATGAAGGTGGTGATTATCTTGTTGTGTGCATTTCATATAAGTGTTTGGTGCATAGGAAATTTTCTTTCCAAGCTCTTGCAATCCTAAACTGTTTTGGATATAATAGAAATTATTTGTACAACTTTTTTTTTTTTATTGATATGTACAATATGTTTTAAGTAACATTGGGATGTTAATCTTTTGTTTATATCAAACTGAGTATCTTAGTAAATTGGTTTCGAAATATATGAGACACATGGAATCCAGTATCCAAGTATTATTTACCACCAATTTGCCTTTTCTTTTCTTTTACTGCTCATTTCTTTTGGGTCTAATTTAACATTTTCTTAGATACAAACTGATCTGAATGTGTTTAATTTGGATTCTAGGTGGGCTTAAAGTGTGGGAAGGCTCACTAGATTTAATTAAAGCTCTTAATTCAGACATCAGAAGCGGGCATATTTCATTTTCTAAGAAGCGAGTTTTAGAGGTTAATTCTTATTTTTAGGTGATTCTACAGTGTCTAACATATAACTTTTGATTGTTTGCTCTGGAAAGGAGAAAATTATCAATTACTTGTGCCTGTTTTTGTTTTTCTGTTTGAAAGTATGCTTTCCTGTATTCTTTAATGGTTATTATCCTGTATTTTATCCTTCATTGGTGGGAATTTTTTAGATTACCACTTGCCATCTGTTACTGTTTGTATAGCTGGATGAATTTAAATATATGAAAGCTTCCACGTGTTAGATGCAGGAAAAATGAATATTTTTTTCAACCATTCTAAGCTTCTTAGTCTTAAGTTAACTGTTTTCTTATGGTTTCTTTCTTTGGAACTTGGATGGACATCCTGTTCTCCTCTCCTTGTATTTTTCTTCTCTCTCTTCTGAGAGTTAATGCAAAAATTGTTAATATAGAAGTTTCCATGGTGTGTAATGACATTCTTTTGAGTACTTATGTATGATTGTCTCGTGGTGCTGACTTTGTGCTGCATTATCTTTGTACTCTCATCTTTTATCAGCATGCTAGCACTACATCAAGAAGTTTTACTTATGTACATGCTTGTTAACTGTTGATGCTTTCTGCTTGAGAGATTTGATGGCAAAAGGTATTGCTGGTAAAAGTTAAGTTATTTTAATTTCATACTGGAGATGCAAATTTTCCCTCTGAACATGCATTGATAACGTATGTTTTTTTTTTTTTGGGGCGGGTGATTGGTATTGAGCTTTTACTCCCCACATGCATGAAGTGGGTCCCTGTCACCTTGCATGACTTTTGCTTATCAGTAATTGTGTGCTCCACTTTGCTTCTCATAAAGGTGGACATGACAAACATTCATGCTGGTCTTCTAAGTCCTCTCCACATCTTTATTGTTTATACACCATGTGACTCTCACGGCTCTTGTGTGTAAGTGAGGGAAAATTCATTTTTAAGGGATCCTTAAATTTCTTGCATCTACTGAGGGGAGTTTGAATTTGATTGCTTTGTTTTATCTGATAATATGATAGAGGCAAAGAATTTAGTAAATCAATCTTTGAGAAAGGGTTGATGGAAAAATTACAACCTTAATCTTTATCAATAATTGAAAATCTTAAAACTATCTTTCCAGGATCCAGATATCATTAGTAGTTAGTGCAGTAAAATCTTTTTGAAGAGGAATAGGTTCTGAGAATTTCCTCACTCTTTTCCATGCTCAAGCATTAAAAGGTACTAGATCTTTATCTGTGTTCTGCATGGCTCTTCTTCATTGTTGTGGACATTGAAATTTCAAATGCAATTAAGCCCCTTATCATGATGTTTTCTGACACTCCATTTTTTCTGGGTTATAAGCACTGCACCCTTTATATATATATATATATATATATTAAATAAGCTATGCCTAAGTTGTACTAAGGAAGTAATCTCTTTCAGTGTTTCAATATTTGACTTTTCAGGTTGGATGTGGTCATGGACTTCCTGGAATCTTTTCATTGCTTGAGGTGAAACTTGGCTCTTTGACTTTGCATTAGTTTAACAATGTGAAATCATTATATATATATATTATTGAAATTACTGTACCATTTATGTACATCTCATAAAATGTGTATTTTTTAATTGTTTTTTCATCCCTGCATTTAATGCACAGTGTAAAATCTACTTCATAATTTTGTGTCTATTCTGGTTTCTTTAGGGGGCAGCTGTGGTGCATTTCCAGGACTTCAATGCTGAGGTCCTACGTTGTCTCACCATCCCGAATGTAAACACAAATAAATTTGGGAAACCTCATCCATCATCTTCAAACATAGCCATATGTGATGAGGAAGAAGTTCGCTTTTTTGCTGGTGACTGGAGTGAAATTGATAAACTTCTCCCTTTTGTGGATAACAATGCAAAGGATGGTCCTGGTTATGACTTTATTCTGATGGCAGAGACTGTTTACTCAATCAGCAGTCTCCAAATCCTCTATAATCTTATCAAGAAGGTACTATTTTACTGTTACAAGACATAATAGTATTTTCTGTATTACAACAACAAGCCTTTATCCCACTAGGTGGGGTTGGCTACATGGATTGCAAGACGCCATTGTGCTCTATCATTTATCAAGCTTTTAGGAATAGTATTTTCTGTATTGATTGACTGAAATATAAATGAAGGCACAAAAGTTAATATCATGACTTCCATATTAGGAAAACATATTTTTAATTTGTATCAAAGATTTTAACATGTTTCTAGTTTGATATTATGCTATGATGTTTATAATTCATGCAATACATGCTTATCATCCAGTATCCATATACAAGTCAAGGGGAAAAGGAAGGGACAAAACGAAGTATATTGTTGAAAGATTCACTGACTGTGCATATAACACTCACTGGCCAACTTCTGTGCATACTAATAATGTAATCACCCAACGACACCTACACCCTTTATTTAGGTGGTTCACCAAGTCCAGCAAACTCTTGGCATACATTCCGGATGTCAAGGACTTGTACTAGTTACCGTGCATGAAATGGTAACTCACAAAATCCTAGAAACCCTTGGTCTTCTCCATTAAATTATTTGAGCATAAATAAAGAGACACCAAGGTTTTGATTAATGATGGATCTCCTTTCAAACATGCCTGTTTTTTTTCCACCTTGAATTTCATAGTGAGCTATCTCCAATAGACTCTAGCCTTCCCAAGTGATTCCATCCAATTATGGACTGAGTCTCTCTCTGTTAATAGCTTGTAAGCCCTTGCCTTTCTTGGGCATTTTGTGCAACACACCATTGTTAAGCCAAAGCGTGCTTTGATATTTTATCATGTTCAAATAATTGAGGTATTTGATTTACTTATTATGCGTAATGAGGAGCAACATGTTGAGATATCTATTGAGTATGCTATTGAGTAACCAATATATTGTTGCATATCATCTTTTAGCTTTTAACTTGTCAATGTTTCTTAAGGTACATCATATAGTACAATACATGAAAATTTAAGACAATGATACATCTATGACATGCAATACTGTTGACTCAGTTGGGTTGGTACTTGTTTGTCTGGATACTTTTCTTAAAACACATTCTTGCTTATCAATTCAAGTGTTCAATGCAGTGTCTGCGCTATCCTGATGGAGTTGCTTACATGGCTGCAAAGAAGTATTATTTTGGAGTAGGTGGTGGAACTCGACGATTCTTATCTGTGGTGGAAAAAGATGGTGAGCTAGTCATGACATTTGGTTATGATTTTAGTTGGGTAACCAATGCCAATATATATGCTGTATTAAACTTTCCCCCATGTGCCTGAGGTGAAGGAAAAAAACTGCTATACTTACAGTTATGCAGTTTACCTTGCCCTTTTTTCTTCCCTTTTTTTCTTCTAAATGGTTGTTTGTTATGTCCTTCTGTTGCATGAAAAGAGGTAATCTGGTAAAGCTTCAAGCTTTTAGTATGCCACCCCTTGTTGTAGGTGTAACAATACTGAAGGTCTTATCCCATTATAAGCCATACACAGAAAGTCCTGCCTTTTCCTTCTCTTCAAATTATGGGACCATGTACCTCATCCAAGTTAAAACAAAAATCTAGTCTCACTATGCCTTTTACACATCAGACCATGAAAGATGCCAAGACATTGACATGATATACTTGTTTGGTATACACAACGAAAGAAAAATGGAATAGAAAAAGTAGTTTGGAAGGTAGAACATAACTCTTGTGCCTTTTTGATGAAAAAACCATAAAAAGAGGTAATGGTGACTGATCATTGCAAGAATATAGCTGATGGAGACTTGTATTATTTCTGGAGATATTAGGAAATTGGTTATAATCTCCTATGAATGATGGAAGAGGAAAATGAGTTATGGGGCCCCACTCTTTTTGCTGTCTGGCTTTCATCTTCTGTTACAGACTTGCTGTCACCATCATTATCTTGTGCCTCCTCTTACACATGGCCGACTATGTTACCTTGCACATCAGTAATATACATTGCATCACAAGAGAAAATAACTCTTCATTTTTCTATTGGGCAAACATAACTAGTGGTCTCTATAGTTTTAACTCATTTTGTCATAGGTCCTTATAGTTTTTTCCCCCATTACTCTAGGCCTCTCTAGTTTATCTTGTCTGCAACGTTAGTACCTCTTTTTTGAATATATTTAGAAAGATGATGAGATGGCAATAACAATATTAAATATATTGACAATGACCAATGTTATTAATTTGTATTGAGGTGGGATTATGATTCAGGTTATTAATAGTGCTGTCTGCCCCATTTTGTTTTATGTTTTAATCTGTTGAATCATAATTTCACCTCAACACAGATTAATGACGTTAGTCACATGCTAGCATATTTGACATCGTTAATGTTACCTCATTTTTCTTTTAGACATATTTAAAAATATAGGGACCAATGTTGCAGATGAGATGAATTAAAGGGACTTGAAGCGATGGAAAAGCTTACAGGGATCTATAACCAATAGTTATATTTTCCTTTTTCTTTTCCTTCTTACCAATTATACTGGTTGCACTTGCCTTTTGCTTTTGCAGGCATCATGATCAGTACTCTTGTTGCTGAAATCACAGATGGTGCATCTAACGTGCGTGAAGTATGGAAGCTTTCATTCAAGTAGTATTGTGAGTTTATTCCTTCTTTACTTGAACCATCACGTGTTCACTTCATGTCCAATCTTTTGGCTTGTTCTTCCCTCTAATGGATGGATGTCCTTAAAATGAACATGATTTGGCTTGGGGAGCAAGTTGCCTCAATGAAGTGGCAATATTTCAAAAATGGAATCGCATTGTATCTTAGTCAACACTCACTGTCAAATATTTCATGTGACTGACACAATACATCAAATTACATTTGAACAACATTTTATCCTGTCACCTTGTGGTGATCATATGATGTCTCTTGTATCTATGTCAAGATGGGTGCTTTTTAGGTTGACTTCATTTTACTTGTTTTGAGGGCATACTATGGTGGAGATTGTATCCTCCAGAGAATTTTCTTATCTCATTCTATACTTTTGCAATTAGATTTTATTTTCCCTCCATTAACTTGGAAGTCTTTCAGTATTTATATTTTCAAGTTTAAAACTGCAATCGCTTCTTGGTGTTTTTGTCAAAGTGTAGTTTTTACATCCCAAAACTTGTTCTGATAGGCTAGCTAAATTAGCCCACAAATTACATATTGATTTTTGAATTTTAATCAATGGAATGATAAGCTCATTTCAACTATTGCCTTCATTGACACAAGTTTTTGTAGAAGTGTCATGAAACCTTACATTCTTCCTAAAGAAGAATGGGTCTTGCATAATGAGTATTTCACTACTATTGATAAAAAGCCCTTCAGGATAGATCTTATTAATAGTAGAAAAATTGGTATAAGATTTTTCCCTAAATGTGTTGTCTAGACAAAGCTCTTTGGAAAGTGATTTACCAACCAAAGATATCCTTCTAGGCTATGATGTCTACTAAAAAACAAGAAATTTACAAGTACTTCCTAAAGGACTAAGGTTTAAACAATTCTTTAACAAGACACTGATATCTCGAGTATCTTGGATATTTAACAAGCTCATTTAGGCTATGAACAAACTAGGGATCAACTTCAGGTTTGTTATTAAAGTCATGATCAGTTCCAACATCAAATTCCTTTATGGAAGAATGAAGAATTTTTTATTAGGCTTCCATTTAAGAAGAATGGGGATGTTGACATCTCATCTTGGAATGAATTCAGAAGAACTAGAACTAGCACGTGAAGAGTGCGCAGCTTTACTTAAGCAAGGGCTCATAGGACTAACCAAATTTGATTGGGCTTGTCAAGCATTTTATGTTGAGAAGAGATCAAAAAACAAAGAAGAAAGAAAAGGTTGGTAATTTATTATAAGCCTCTTAATGCTTTTCTTCAAGATGATAAGTTTCTTCTTCTAAATATCAACACTCAACTAGTCCATCTGAAGTGGATGAAGATATTTTGAAAGTTTTATCTCAAAGCAGGATTTTAGCAGCTAGGAATTGATCTAGCAGTCCACTATAAGACGACTTTATCTATTCCTAATGCACAGTACCAATGGACGGTTATGCCATTTGGACTCAAGACAGCCCCCTCACTATTCCAGAAGATTATGATAAACATCTTTGAGTTCATTATTAAAACCACCCTAGCATGTATTGATGATGTACTACCGTTCTCCGAAACTGATTGAGTATAAGGACCTATTAGCCCATTTCTTTAAAATAATCCAAACATGGGAGATTACGCTTTCAACTCATGAGGGTCACATAGGGGTAGCTGAAATAGAGTTCTTGGGTATGATTATTTAAGATGGATAGTACTAGCCTAGTTCACACATTGCTTAGGAACTATTGAACTTTCTTGATGAGAATTTGATAGTAACTCAAATTCAACAATTATTAAGGATCTTGAATCATATCAAGGACTTTATTTCTCATGTGTCCCCTCATATTAGCTAGTTATTTAGGTTATTGTGACAAAATCCACCGACTTGGACAATCAATCAAAATAAAGCTGTTAAAGGATATCCCAGCATCTCTACCATTAAGGATTCCAAATAAAGGACAAAAAATAGTATACATTAATGCAAATGATGATTGTTGGGGAACAGTATTTGTTGAAGAAGAAAATGGGAAAAGACATTACTGTGGTCATGCTAGCGGAGAATTCAAAGCTTTTGAAAAGCATTATCATATAGCTTACAAAAAAGTCTTAGTTGTGAAATGTGGTATTAAAAAAATTAGTTTTCATCTTAGTCTAACCACTTTGTGGTAGAAATGGACAGCATCTTATTCCTGAAAATTCTTGATCAAAACAAAAAAGTATCTCTTTGGGACCTAATTCCTTTAATGGAAAGACTAGTTTTTCTGCTATAAATTTACAATTTGACATATATAACAAAACCACAATACCATTGTTGAAAGAGTCTAGCTCATAACACCCTCATATTGCCAACCTTTTCTCATCTTTAACATCATGTCTAGAAAGTTAGTGTTCCCTCCTAATTCCAATCCCAAATTTGTTCTTGAAGTACATCAATTAGCTAAAAGAAGTTTGTTCTTTTGGCTCCATCTTCTCCTCCAAAAAACTCAAATCCACCCATAGCTTGAATACTTTGATATCCTGGCTCCTTATCTAGTCATTCCTTATATCTGAGGTCTTATACTAGAAAAAGCCATGTGGTACATCTAGTTCCTTTTAGCCTTGTATGCATGTGCATTCGCTATCCCACCTTTACTTGTTTATTGTTATCTCTGTGACACTAGTAATGAAGGCCCTAATCTTTGGAATTTCCTTAAGTGGTTTCACCACTACCCAGGTGGCGTAAGAAATAACATAGTCATGGAAGTTTTTGGCTTATGGAAGATACCATGGAACAGGCATAATGTTTATTCCTTCTTCATCATTCATCATCCTTACAATTTGGATACTTATGGGAACCTTTATGTTACTAATTGGACTTACTTGTGGAAATCCTTTACTAATTGGCCATCATATAAGAAAGAAGTTTTAACTAAGTTAACAGATTTTTTTTATGTGATTTAAACAATTTTACAGGCACAGGCCTAAATCTTAAGTGTACTTCACTTTGTTTTATTCCATTTCAGCTTGTCATCATAGATGATCCTCTTGCTATAAAATATCATCTTCCAGAATGGGGTTGCGAGTATTTCTTTACAAAAGGGATATTTTACATGGATGGAACAAGCTTCCATAACCTATGAAGCCCAGACATCTCAAGACTTAGAGCTTCCTCCTCCAGATGGTCAAGATCCATATGAAATAAGGTTTCAGTTTTATCAACAATTTCTTGAAGCATGAGATTTTTTCACTCCATGACAATCCAATGGACAAGAAGACAAAGAAACAGAGTGGGTAGAGGATACGTCAGTGTGGCTTTTCAAAAAAGAAGAAAGTAGGTACTTCAACCTGTTATTTGACCAAGAAAGCATCTACAAGCATATGAAACAATGGAATTTTATCATGCGTAAGAATCTACTTTTGTCAAATTTATCTTTAGAAAAGTAGCTTTATGTTTTTGTCTTTTATTTATTGTCGAAAGTTGCTTTAGCTTTTGTCAAGTCAGTTGCTTTTACTTTTGTTTTTGTCAAGTTTGTCTTTACTTTTAGTCACGTTTACTTTAGCTTTTAAAAAAATGAGTAAACCTGTAATAACGATATGCATCTTTTACCTCCTCCCTTCATCTACAAAAGGGATGTAAGGTAGATTTGGTTCAAAACTTATTTGAAGAATAAAAATCAGTATTTTTTCTCTCATGTCCTTTTAAATTTTCCTTTTTCTCCTGAAAGCTTGACTCAATAATATCATACTTCTGTCAAATGAAGATTCAAGTATGTTCTGCATTGTCTCTCTAAAGAACCTGTGCATAAAAAAAATGACCACGGTCTATGAGTGTGAGCCATGTCACTATGTTTAAAAATCTATGAGTTGATATATTAAGGGTTGAGGATCCTAAAGTTGTTCGTGTTTGCCTATGAGTGGTGTTAAGAGGCCTTACTTGGATCAATATTACTCCTCAATATTACCCTTGGATTTTTGGGTCTGTAGTAATTTTGAGATTTGACTTTGTGATATTAGAGCCTTGATCTCATTAACAAAAGTAGGATGATATTGATGATAGTGAGTAAGGAGAACTTAAAATAAGTGAGATACTAGAAACCTCATTGATTTCCTTAGAACCAATATGTCTTTCTTAAGCCCTTTCCTTTGATCGCCTTTCTTTTTATTGTAAAGAAACCCTTTCTAACAAAATAGAAAATCTGGTTGAATTTGCTATTCTTCCAGAGGATGCAAAGATCTAAGATACAGACCTCCCTCTTCTTAGACCTTATACTTCGTATCATAAAACAAACTTTTTTGCCAGGGGTATTAGATCCTTAATCTCCACTAGACGCCTAGTGAATGAAGTTGTCCAAACTTTTAAACTTGATCCATGTGATCTTCTAGCCACCTCTAAAACAGTACATGACTCTTGAGATTCCACAACCTCTTAATAACATTTAGAAATCCTAAAGATATATTCACCTCTATGTTGGATCTTTTTGTCTGATCTTGACTCTCTATGGTAGAAAAGGGATTCCTTCTATAGCCAGGAAAGCTTTGGTGGATATTAGCTACACATCCTACAGTAATACCTTGATTGGAACTTTGTTGGCTATCCTTAGCCAAGGGAGCATGATCCTCATTATTGCTCTTGATTTTAACATCAAATTGACATATTTGACTCTTTTATGGGATTAGAGGTCTAGATCCATATAGTTGGACCGAAGCAAGACCCAATAGCCATCATGGCTACCTTCTATCACCAAATTGTTTATAGACTCCAATATCATTTACTTGATCTCTACTTTCCTTACTCAACTGAGGATGGTTGTTGTATGGTTTTTAAAAGTCCTGGTGAATCCTTAGTGATTCAAATCCTGAGACATTTACCTTGAGAAAAGCTTGCACAATTGATGCTTGTAGAGTGGATGAACAATTATGAAAAGTGAGTTACATGCTGACCAAAAAGATGTACATATAACAAAATCTCTTGTTTTGTATAAATTATCAAATGGGACTATTAAATCAATCTTCAATAGGCCTAGATCTCATGATCCAGCCTAGTGTTCTAGCTAAACACTGACAATAGCACTAGCCTACACTTAGCACAAGAGTGATCCTCTTGTTGAGTTCTTCACTAAAGAAACCAAACCAGTCTATGTATTTTATGTTAATAGTCACTTTATTTGAGATTGCTCTAGATATATGTGAGCTTGGATGTGACTTGTGAGTTTTGGGATGACTAGTATGGTAGATGAAGGACTACCAAAAAGCCTAATCAGCATAGATCTCCTTGCAGACATAAATGTCCTTCACAGAATG